TAACTTGCCAAGCTAGCTAATAGTGCTATTACCTATTTTGAAGTCAAATATTGAGGAAAAACAAAACAAATCAACCACAAGTTTAAATTCTATATGTATTTGGACAACTAAGAGTACCTGAAATGCTCCACAAATCCACAGGAGGCACCAATAGTTTGATTCTTGTTCTTTATTATTATTGATAACCAGCATGGTACATTTAAACAGCTAAAGGCAATCCAATGCCTACCTTTTTAAATTCCTATGATCCTTCTCTGCCATTTAACTGGTTTTTAGCACACGGGAAATGTGGAATTGGAAGTTAAATGTTGTATAAATGACATCCAATTTGTGACCCAGGCAGGGGTGGCGAACCTGTGACCTTAAGGCAAAATGTGGCTTTCTAGGTCCTTAAGTGCGGCCTTTGGCTGAACCCAAATTTTGAAGAACAAATCCTTTTATTAAAAGGGGTGCAGCAGAGAAAAATGAAGCTTTTCTTGCTTCCTTTGGTGCTTGTAAAAAGAAGAATGTTGAAATCAGAAGGCCGCAGTTTCCCCACCCCTGGCAGATTATAGATGCTTTTTGGTGCTGAAATGGTTACAAAATTGTCAAGGTTACCATTGACTTCCGTCCTGTTAAACTTTAGTGGTCAAGTCTATTTCTTAAAGTTTTTGAATTCTTGATAGAATTTGACACCGTTTATCTATTCCAATTTCTTGAAATACTTTCTTTGCTTGGCTTCCCAAACATCATATTCTCTTATTTCACTCACCACACTGGTCACTCCTTTTCAGGATCCTTTACTTGTTTCAATTCTTTTTTCTCACTGTAAATTTTGGAGTTCTTAGCCCTTCACTATTCTCTGCCCACACCGTCCCTGTGTGATTTTTTTCAGTCTCATGGCTTTAAATATTTTTCGTACTTCAATGACTCCCAAATTTATCTATCCAGCCCTGAGCTCGAAATGCACATACTCTACAGCTCACTTGACCTCTCCACTTGGAGGGTATCTATTAGGTATCTCAAACACAACATTTCCTAAACATAACTCTTGATTTCCCACCTCCCTGAAACAGCTCTTCCCACAGTCTTCCATATCAGTTAATGTGGTACCACCATTTACCTAGTTACTCAAGCCAAAGCCTAGGAGTCATCCACCATTCCTCTTTTCCTCAGTACCCAACGCTAACTCTGATTCCAAGCTAATCCAAAGGCATATCCTATCGCCTTCATTTTCAAATTGTACCCTGAATATATTTATTTCTTACCACCTCCACCACTGCAATCTGAGCTGCCATGATCTCTTCCGGACCTCCACTGTAGCCTTCTACGTGGTCTGTCTCCCTCCACTGTTGTCTTTCTCTACATAATAACCAGAGTCATCTTTACAAGATGTCAATCAGTTCCTGTTGCTCCTCTACTTCAAAATCCTCCCCTAGTTGCCTTCAGAATAAAATCCAAACTCCTATCTTGCCCTCAAGAACCTGCAGGATGTAGTCTAGTCCCAGTCTATCCCTCCAGGCTCATCATCCTTCCTCAAGTATACCAAGCTTTTTCCTGCCTCTGAGTCTTACCACCTGCTGTTTCTCCTGCATGAAAAGCTCTTCCTTCAGATGTTCATGTGGCTGGTTCCTTCTCATCATTCAGGTCTTTCACAGGTCATCCCAAAGAGGTCTTCCCTGACCACTT